ACGAACGAACGAACGAACGAACGAACGAACGAACGAACGAACGAACGAACGAACGAACGAACGAACGAACGAACGAACGAACGAACGAACGAACGAAACGAACGAACGAACGAACGAACGAACGAACGAAACGAACAAAAGAACGAACGAACGAACAAACGAACGAACGAACGAACGAACGAACGAACGAACGAACGAAACGAACGAACGAACGAACGAAACGAACGAACGAAGAACGAACGAACGAAGAACGAAACGAACGAACGAACGACGAACGAACGAACGAACGAACGACGAACGAAGAACGAACGACGAACGAACGAACGAACGAACAAAGAACGAACGAACGAACGAACGAACGAACGAACGAACGAACGAACGAAACGAACGAACGACGAACGACCGAACGAACGAACTAACGAAGAACGAACGAACGAACTAACGAACGAACGAACGAACGAACGAACGAACGAACGAACGAACGAACGAACGAACGAACGAACGAACGAAAGAACGAACGAACGAACGAAACGAACGAACGAACGAAACGAACGACGAACGAACTAACGAACTAACTAACTAACTAACTAACTAACTAAGAACGAACGAAACTAACTAACTAACTAACTAACTAACTAACTAACTAACTAACTAACTAACTAACTAACTAACTAACTAACTAACTAACTAACTAACTAACTACTACTACTAACTAACTAACTAACTAACTAACTAACTAACTAACTACCTAACTAACGATCTATCTAACTAACTAACGAAAAACCTTTATCTTGGTTGTATTGTTGTAATATTGTATATTAGAACTGATCATTCTGATTAAGCGGTTAGGTCAATTAAATTTTTCGGAAAAAAAGATTGACTTTAAAATAGGATTTTATACCCTTTGTTAACCATAGCATATTTTGACAAATAAAAATTAATTAAAAAATATTTTTTATTTATTTTTAACTGCTTTCTTTTAAATGAAATAGAAATTTTAATTTCATTCATAAATTATTTCCATCTCTGATTTCATCTGTTAACTGTGACAAATCTTGTGTCGGCTGTGCCGAATCTCATATACCCACCATCAAACCGTATGCCGTAAAAGGAATGCTCCCCTATAAACATCAGCGTGATATTTGGAATATGGCTTAAGTCAATTATGGCCCGAGCTCTTTTGAACTAACAAAATATTAATTTAAAAAAAAAAAAATATTTTATTTCAATTCTTAAACCGTGAGCGTAAATTATGAACTGATACTCATAAAATTTTATACATTCAGGGCTATACTCGCATTTTAAATAAGGAACACTCGTAGTTTATTAACCAAAACTCTTTCCTGAAGGGAACCTTTTGTGTATTACCGACACATTCGGAGCGAATTTCATAACCGTATTTCATAACTCATATTCTTAAGCCAGTAATGATCGTTTAAGTAATTTTCTGAAGGGGACCTTATATGGGCGGTAGGGTAAATTATATACCGATCCGTCCTAAATTTGGTGGAGAGATTAAACTTATGTGCGTCAATTTTCGTCACATTCATATTTTTAAGCCAGTAATGAGCATTGTAGTTATTTGCAGAGGAGGCCCTTATATGGGGGAAGGGTCATTTATGGGCCGATCCAAAAAAATTGGTACAGAGGTTTTGGCTCGTAAGAAACTTACGTGTGTAGCATTTCATCGCTTTACTCGTATTTTTAAGACAGTAGTAAGGGTTTAATCTTTTTCCTGAAGTGGACCCAATAGGGGGAGTAGGGCCAATTATTGACCTATCCACATAAAAATTATTAAAAAGATTTGGGCTCGCGAAGAACTTTATTGTGTAAAATTTTATTGCTATATTCGTATTTTTTAGCCAGTAATGAGCGTTAAAGTCATTTTCAGAAGGCGACCTTATATGGGGGATAGGGTCATTTATGGGCCGATCTTAAAAAAATTCGTAGAGCTATTTTGGTTCTTAAGAAACTTACTTATACCGAATTTCATCGCTATACTCGCTTTTTTGGACCAGTAATGAGTGTTAAAGTAATTTTCTAAAGGGGACCTTATATGGGGGGTAGGGTCAATTATGGACCGATCCTCAAAAAATTTGGTAAAAAGATTTTGGCTCACATGGAACTTATTTATGTCGAATTTCATCGCTAAACTTGCATTTTGGGGCCAGTATTGAGTGTTAAAGTCATTTTCAGGAGGGGACCTTATATGGGGGGTAGGGTCATTTATGGGCCGACCCTAAAAAAATTGGTTAAAAGGTTTTGGTTCAAATTCAAATTTTCAAATTTTTAGGCTAGTAATGAGTGTTAAAGTCATTTTCTAAAGGGGACCTTATACGGGGGGTAGGATCATTTATGGGCCGATCCTAAAAAAAATTGGTAGAGAGATTTTGGTTCTTAAGAAACATACTTATACCGAATTTCATCGCTATACTTGCATTTTGGGACCAGTAATGAGTGTTAAAGTAATTTTCAGAAGGGGACCTTATATGGGGGGAAGGGTCATTTAAGATCGATCCTCAAAAAATTTGGTAGAAAGATTTTGGCTCATATGAAACTTATTTATGTCGAATTTCATCGCTATACTTGTACTTCTAAAGCAGTTATGCCCGTTAAAGCTGTTTTTTTGGAGGTCCACTTGTATGGGGGCTATCCGAAAAAGTGGACCGATATTGCCCATTTTCAATACCAAACAAACCTTAACAATAGATAATATTTATGCAAAATTTCAGCTGTCTAGCTCCTCTCGTGTGGTCCCTATCATGATTTCAACAGACAGACGGACGGACGGACGGACGGACATGGCTAGATTGTCTTAGAATTTAATAAGGGCCCGGAATATATATACTTTTGTGGGTCTATGATGAATATTTCGATGTGTTACAAACGGAATGACAAAATCAATATACCCCCCATCTTTTTTGATGGTGGGTATAAAAAGAATTAATTTATGAGCAAAACGCTGAAAGATTTTTAAATTTTATTATTTTGCAATTTTTAGTATGTAAAACAATTAAAATTTAACGAATTACTATAAAATTTTACATATTAAATATTTATAAAAAAAATTTAAACTATTTTATTGACATAAAACATTAATATGCGCCGGCAAAAGTACAATTTGTTTTGTGTAAATTAGCAAAAAAAAAAAACAAATTACAACAAAACACCTATATAAACGTACAAATCAAATATCTAAGATATTTTAATTAAATTTTTAATTAATTCAAGCTTGACACAAATTTTGTAAATAAAATTCATCACTTAAAAGTAAACACTTTAAAAATTATACTATTTACTTAAAACAAACTAAATGCACTTAAAAAATTTCACAAATTTCTTAGTCTTATTTAAGTTTTTGTACAAAATTTGGGGGGACAATAACCCCTTCCTCCACTCAGTACAATTTCTGCCATTATTATTTCATTTAATTTGTATTTAATTGTTTTTATAGCTTAATTAGTTTTTCAATTAATCCTTCCACTGATATGACAACCAAATTGAGCAGTTTTTATTTGTTTTTGCTTCTTATTGTTATTATTTGTACATAATACTCGCTCTCTTGCACACTTACGCTCTGTTCTGCAAAAGAAACTGGGGGAAAAAAGCACAGACACAGACTTAGTGGCCCCAAAAACAAACAAATATTCTTCTATCTAGTAACTAAGAGAAAGAGAGTGACAGAGAGAGTAAGAGTTTGGGGATAAAATGATTACAACAACAAATACAATAAATATTTATTTGAAAAAAAAAACTGTGACAAACTAACAGACTGACAACTCTATAATAATACTGGCACGTATTAAAGGCAAACAGGAAAATTTAAACGAAAAATATATTAAAAATAAAACTTTATTAACGATAAATGACAGAAAGAGACAACATTTTTTTCTTAGTTTTAAGGAAAACTAAGAGTTTTTGTAATAGTACTAAAAACAGCTGAGAAAATTTTTATTTTATTTCATAGATACTAAACAAAAAAGAAGAATATGTATTGTAAAAACACACATAAAACTTTAATATAAAATAAAAAAACCATGACACGGAACCGTAGCAAAAAGGTGACAAAATTATATGAACTATTTAACATTAAGAAACAACACAAAAAACGCCAACAAAAACAACAAGAATAGTCGAATGTTGAACTATTTTAGTTTTATAGTTTTTTCTTTTTTTGTACAATGTGCATGTATTTGTAATTTAAACAAACAATACACTTTAACACTTTTTTTCCAACTACTATTTGGAATTATTAAAAACCACAATGGCTGTTAAAAGTAATAGAGTTTAAGTTTTGTGTGTTTAGCAATGTGTTGTTGTTGTTTTTGCTACATACAAAACCCCAACTGAAAAGCAGAAAAAAAAACTAAACAAGAAAGAGCAACAATTATATTGTAGTTAAAAAGAGATAAAATGATATTATTCTACTTCTGCTATTTTTTTCAACACATCAACAATACAGTTACACTTGGAGTTGTAAATAAATTTGCTGTTGTTGTTGTTGTCTGTCCATCACCCATTAATAAAATTACCCCTCTCTGATTAATCAATAAACTCTAATAACAGCCAACAACAAAACTCACCATGGTGAATAATAAAGAGGCGTTGTTTTGCTTAAGCAAAAGGGGAATTAGTTAAATTCACCTCAACTCTTTAAATTGAACTACTTTAAGCTAAAGAGAGAACAATAGTGTAAGGAAAAAAGAAATAGCAATAGTTTAACCACAAAAAAGAGTATAAACAAATATAAAAATGGTGTTTGCTGAGGCTCAGCCAAGCAAGAGTAAATGAGTAAACATATACATCTATTTCATTCGATCTTTTGTTAAATTGATTATATTTTTTTCTGTTGTTTTTTTTTTTTTTTAACCACCTTGTTTAGTTCACACACACAAACACTTTGGGGAGAATAATTTTGAGTATCTGTGTAACTGACAGTGAGTGCAGAGTGTGTTTTTTTGTATCCGTGAGGTTTTAAGTGAATGAACCGAGATTTCATAGGAATACTTAACAGTTCAGTTGTTAAACAGTCGTGATCTCAGAAAGACGTGTCTGATGTCAACGAGCGCTTAAATTTAATTTGTCTTGAAAGAAAAAAAAAAACAAACTAAACAATTAGAGAATATTTAATACAAGTGTTTTTAGTTATTTTGCCTTTGTATAACATGACAAGCAAAAGAGAGAGCAAACAATTTAAAAATTAGCAAAAATTAATCAGGCAATCATTTAATTAAAAACAAATTTTCCAATTACTATTGGAAAAACACTTAATAAAAATTAAACAAGTGCTATAAGGAATATTATTACAAATAAATAAATAAAAATCAATTTATTAACAAAAGGAATATTAACTAAAAAATTAAAGTGCAATGTTTTAAATAAAAAACAAAACCAATTAAGAAAAATTTAAAAGGAAATTAAAAAAAAATAATTTAAACAAAATTTATCTTCCTGTTGTGTTTAATAAAAAAATAAAAGACTGTTAACAGCATTAATTGCAAAATAAAACTACAAACTTTATGTTGAAATTGTCATCTTCAGGAATGACAGTCACTGGTTTACGTGCGAATATGACTAGCCCGACGGTACCGCCGCAAACAGCTATGAACACTACAACCAGCTCCACTACAGTTGTGGTGCAACCACTCAACACAACAACTACAGCATCAGCACTGGGGGCCAATACACCCACCTCGCCCTCAGCCTTAATCATGGCCCATCAACAGCATTTAAGGAATTTACAGCATTCCCATCATGCCATCAACAAAACCACATCAAGACTTAGTAATTTTAGTGTGGCCTCTTTGCTGGCCGACACCAGGCCACGTACCCCACCCTGCAGCGGAGACAATGGCTCACAAACGGCACCCACAAATCTATCGAGTACTCCATCGGCCGCTACTTCACCCGTGTCACATGAATCGAACTCTTCACCTGCCTCGCCAAATCATCATGCTCACCAACACAACCAGCCCCAGCAACATCCCCAGTTCCATTCCGTGGCCATGGCTCATCATGCCAACTTACTGCATGCCGCCCAAGCGGCAGCAGCAGCTCATGCTCAACATCAACATGCGGCCGCTATGGCAGCGGCGGCAGCTGCTGTTGGTGCCAGCAATCCCAATGGACCCTCTCACTTAACACATCATTTGCCTAATCACTTAAGACATCCGCTAAATCCCAGTGGCATGCCACCAGCCGGTTCCCTACTCATACAAACCAACACCTCACCCTCACCAAATAGCAACAATCCCACAACCACCACACCGCCCGCTTCGTCAGCCAGTTCCACCGCCAACACCGAGTGCAATGTCAATACAACTACCTCCACACAGCCGACGGCGAAAAGTGAACGTCACTCGCCCATTGGTTCCTCCATAGACTCTGAATTGGAATACGATGATGAGTTGAACGAACAGGATTTGGAACATGATGAAGAAGAAGATTCAATAGTCGATATCGAAGATATGAATGCTGATGACTCCCCACGTTCCACACCCGATGGCTTGGATTCAAGTAAATCACCCGATGGCCATGGTTCTCTGCCGAATTCACCTCATTTATTGTCACCCGCCGCTTTAGCAGCTTCTGGCCATGTGCCCATCAGACCGACACCATTTAGTGCTTTAGCTGCCGCAGCTGTTGCCTGGGGTGGTATTGGTGGTGCTGGTGTACCTTGGCCAGGTGCCCGTCAAATGCCACCCTTTGGACCACCAGGTTTATTTCCCGGACAAGGTTTTGGTGGAGGAGGTAAGTGTCATTTTCATTTTTTTTACTTTAAATTAGAGTGTGTTTATTGAAACAAAAGCAATCATTTAGTTATTTTTTTTTTACAAATGGTTTCTTCCTCATTAATCTGTTAATTAATGAATCATTCATTGTGAGCGGGAGAAAAATGCGGGTTTTCAATTTGTTGTTTGTGTAAAACACAAACATTGACTTAAAACAATAAAAATTTAGGGAGATTTTTTTTGTATTTATTTCAAACCCCTACAACCTAATTGTTATTATTACGATTATACCAGAAAAAAATTGTATATATTGTCTCATAAATTGCAATTTATGAAGACCACAGCTATTTAAACAGTTATAAATTGTTGCTGTTTTAAATTGTTATTTAGTGTACTGTACACTCGAGCAATAAAAATCTGACAATTATTTTTATTAAATTTATTTTAACAGGGAAAACGTACGAAGCTAAAAAACATTGAATTTTTTTGTAACGTTTTTATAAAATGCACAATTCACACTTGAGCAAAAAAAGTATGAAAAAGTAGGAATTGAAAAAGTTGGAAAATTTTACATTTTGCATATGATTAAAGACTGCTAATAAAAAAAACTAGTGTTTTCTTAAACATTTCTCACATTAAAAGGGTCTGTTTATAGTTTTTTCGCTTTATGGTCAAAGCAAAACAGCAAAAACTGCAACACTTTGTCAGTGTCAGTGTTCATTTTTGAAAGTGTGGCTACACTGATAACGAACCCTTTACTACAAGAATTTCCGGAGTTTTTTTGCTCTTGTTTCATTGGACAAAAACCAATTTCTTGGTGTTTTATGTGGTCGGAAGAGGTAACTTGTAATTCACTAGGAAAGTTAGTTTATAAACTAAAGTTTTTTTTAAAGTAATTTTCAATACATTATAATGTTCTTTAGGCGGCCATAGACATAATGAACCTTAATTGTTGTAAATTTAGCAGAAATTAAGTTTTTAAATGTTTGAATTTAAAGTTTAACTTTTTTACTGAATTTTGAAATTTATGTCTTGGTAGAGCATTACTAAGCTTAAGCTAAAGTTCAAAAGTTTAAGCTCTAAACGTTTTAATAAAAGATGTGAAATTTTCACTTAAATTTTAAGTTCGTAAGTTTCTTTTGACAGAGTTTGTATACATTTTCCTTTACATGCAGTTTATCTTTCTTCCTTTAATAAAAATCTTTTACAACAGCGTTAAAATTTCCTATTTTTTGGTCACTTTCTTCCTATATTTCCTTTTGTTACTCTTCAAAAAAACATTTCTCTCACTTTTACCCAAACAGGTGACAATATTCTTATTAGTTTATGTTGTAACACATTTTTAAAGAGTGTCTGCCTGTGTTTTTGTCATTTCATCTTCGTTTTACTTATTTTTGAATATTTGTTTTTGTAGTTAAAGAGACTTTTACCTGTCACATTATTTTCTTTTATCGATACGATAGTCGAGTGTTTTGTCACACAGCAGGTTATCGCTGTCAACAGTTCGTCTTCGTTTAAACACGTATAAAAGAAAAGAAAACACACCAGCAACATCTAAAAAAACAAACCAACAACAACATCACAATGCAACATCACAGTAGTAAAACAGAAGAATTGTTTTTGTTGTATGAGTGTCAGTGTCAAAGTGTGTGAAGTATTTAAAGCCTTTTTTTCTCCCATGTTAAAACAAAAGGACTCTTTAAGAGTTTTGAAGCCCAACAAATACTGTCAGATTTTTCATTATGATAAAATAAGACAAGTCAAACAAAACACTGTTTTTAAATACGAAAAAAAGAAAGAAAAGAAATATTTGACAAGCGGCACAAGTCGGTAATTTACTTTCAAGTCTCAAAAGTATTTTATTAACTACAATTGGCCGTACAATGTTTCAAACCTGACTACCGTTTGTATAGAGACGGACGGACGTATACAAGTCTTTTGACATATTACACCTGATTATTAACAACATTATGGCTGTTGTCTGTTTTTTTTTTCGTTACACTTAATTAGCTGTAGAAAAGAATTTAACTTTGTTACAATTACGTTTAAGATTAAGAAAACAGCTTTTTCTTTGAGTAAATGATAAGACTTTTTTTACCACACATTTATTTTTTTTTATCATTTACACTTTTCTCACACGCGCTGCTGTTTTTTTGTACAAAATTTAATTACTTTTTTTAAACTATTTATAGTGGCTTAAAACACCATAAATTTTTATATCTTTAACTGTGATAAATTGTCTAGAAATGCAGCTTTTTTTTCATAAGAAATTTTCATTCATTCCTTCTTCATTGTTGTCGTTGTTAGTTCCTTGCCTTGAAGTTGCAAGTTGTGTTGTTGTCTTCTTGGTGTTGGTGTGTGCAATTATAACAACAATTAATTGTTTGGAAAAACTAGTAGGTGTGTCTTGTTGGTTTTTTTGTTGTATTTAGTTTCCTATTTACAACACTTTTGTTTAAAAGTTACAACAAAAAGTGGCAACAACACAACAACCCACCTTTAAAACACGCAATTTTGTGCAGAAGACAAAAAGCAACAAAAAAACTGAACAAAACAAATACTTAAAGTCTTGACATGCATAACTTTTAACACCATTTGTTAAAGCCATGCAATTACACCCGAAACTTGTTTAACGGTTTAGTTTAGATAAACAAAATTTTTAAAGTTGATCATTAATTAGCTTTGAAGTTTAACAAAAGAAGTTTTGAAAGCTTTAAGCTTAATTTAGAAGTTGCTTTAAAAACTTTAAAGTTTTAGCTGTCAGCTTAGAAATAATTTAATACAGTAATTTGACTTTAGCTAGTAGAAATAGTCTCTAGTGTTTTTTTACTCTTATTAGCCATCTTATTTTAAACCTTTTTTTTTTTTTTTGTTCAACCTTTCTGTAATATGGCTAGAAATTTTGTCATGTTTAATTTAAAGTTTCCTAAAGCTTCTGCAATTCTACTGCAGAATTTTATTTTCACAAAACGTACAACAAAAAAAAAACTATTACAATTTTGCACGCCATTTCTTGTTTGAAAAAATCCCAAGTTAAATAGAAAAGAAAAATAGAAAAGAAAATAGAAAAGAAAAATTCAAAAAATAGAAAATTTTGTTGAAAATGATTTGTTGTCAGTATTTTCTTTATGAAGGCCATAAATTAAACAAAAAACTTAAGGAATAAATATTGTTAGTCATTTGTTGACAATTGTTAGTTTTTGCGGCAATTTGTTAATATTAGCCAAGTTGTGCTGTTTACAAACTGTTTGTTTTTTTCTCTCTCTCTCTGTGTATTTACATAGAGGTGCCAGCTTGTCAATGTTTAAAGTAATTTACATGTATGTATGACCAGGTTACACATTGTATATGAATGAGTTTCCATTTAGTTTTTGTTGTTGTCTTCTAAAGTAAATTATTTTCTATTTGTAGTTGTCTATCTATCTTGTCAAAGCAATTAGCAATATTATTATTATTAATAAACATTGATGACATTTATATGGCATTTATAGACTAATCACTTGTTAGGTTTGTTTAGCAAAAACAACAAAAAAAAAAAACACACAACAGCTACTGAAACTAAAAAGAAAATAATAATAATTAACAAACACCTTTTAAATGACCATGAATAGCAAATAAAAATACTTTTTTTTATTAATATGTTTAAATTTAATATTCATAATTTGAAATGAAAGTTTAGTTGTTTTATGTTTTAAAGGCGAAAATATTTTAAATTGTTTTTTTATATTTTATATGGTTTTTAAATTAAAAAAGATTTTATCTTAGTTATATTTTAATTAAAGAAATGATTTGCTGAGTTTTTATAATAAAAAGTTTCAACCAGTTTTTGTTAATTTTTTAAATTCGTATCAAAATTTTTAACATTTTTATAAATCTTTTACTTTAGTTTATTTTATATTTTGTGTTATTCTAAGAATTTAGTTAAAATTTTATAGTTTCAGTATAAATTTTTTTATGAAATATGAAAAAGTTTCCATTAAAACTTTAGTTGAAATATTAAGCTTTTCCTATAGAAGTTTGGAGACTTTACTTTTTGTTCCAAAGTGTAATTTATAATTACTGACTTTTGTAAACCAATTTTTTTTTGCAAAACTTTTAATAAGTCACGCATACTTTTAATCCTGTATTAAATATTGAGGCTGTAAGCATCTTTCTCTCCGTGATTTTTTTATTTGTCAATTGAATTGGTTTATAGGCTGCAAAAGCTTTTCTTTTACCCTTTTTTCTTTAAAACATTAAACCAAAAACAGCAGCAAAAGAAGAAAGAAAAAAAAAACATTGCCATGTCAAATCTACGGCTAAAAACTGAAAACGTGAGTAGGTTGAAAATGGTATTTACAGCTGTATGTCTGTAAATAAGTCTGTCTGTCTGTCCTCGGTTTTTTTCTTACATTTTCATTTTTTTTTTTTTTTTTGTTTTTTTGTAGTCACTCATAATAAACATACACGCATTTTGCAGCTCAAAGCCTAAACATCTTATCTTAACTTGGCTGGTTAATACGAACATAAAACTCAAGTTAAATGATAAAATGAAATGGGAAACAACGACCAAACAAACATGTAAAGTTGAGTTACAAAAAAAAAAAATACAAATGACAGAAAAAAAAATGAAAAAGAACTAGTTAAACAGCCATAATTACATACACTAAATAGCAAGAGGAAAGTTAAGTTAAAAGGCATGAAAAGATATCAAGGAATTTTAATAACCACACACATCATATAACGCTTATTAATTAAAACTTGCTCGAACAGCAAAACTAACAGCAGCAGTAGCAGCCAACAGCAATTATGTGTAAAATAATGGAAAATTCTAGGAAAAATCAATAAAAGTGCAAATTTACTTAAAGAAAACGTGTCGTTACATTCACATTTAGTTGTTAATTTTTTTGGCTTTTGTAAGTAGTTTGCGTTCGATTAGGTGCAGAGTTTTATGATATATTTTTACCTTAAATTGTTATAGCTATTTTCTTGCCATATAAACAAAATATTTATTAACAAACAAAACATGTTGTTTGTTTTGTTTTCAAAGGTATTTATGTGTATTGTTGTTGATTTCAATTAATTTGCAATCTCTCTAAGGTATTGTAACAAAATAAGCCCCACAATAAAACCATATTATTGGAAGAGTGATGAAATGTCTGTCTACTGTGTTTAGCCTCATCATCATGATGTTTGTTGTCGTCATCATTATCAACATCTCCTCAGCCATTATTGATTAAAAGCTATAAAATGTTGTTAAACTTAAGTTTGTGATTTTTTCTTTATTTTTTTTGTTATTTCTCAAGTCTGGTTTTGATTTTTAGATTTACTGTAACGTGTAGTTATGTATGTATGTGTTTTTTGTGAGAGTGTATTGTGGCAACAACGCGTTGCAAATTGCTTTGCAATTAGTTTTTCATTAAATTAAAACGCGTTGCAATTTTTGTAACCATATTAAGATTTTTAATTGCAAAAAATCATTTTTTTTTGTTGCTGTAGTTGTTGTTGTTGTTGCTGCTGCTGCAATTTGATTTCTTGTAAAGTGATCAGTTTTTCGCCTTAAAGTGAAAACGATTTCACAATAACATTTTCATGTCTAAAGTTTTGTTTTGTCTTGTCTTGGTTTTTATCTAACGATCTTACAATCTAACTATCTGGTATTGACTGTCTGTCTATCACTACAATAGTTGACAGGTCGCCTCTTTATTGTTGCTTTAGTGTACAGAAAACAAAAAAAAAAAAAAAAACAACAAACTATTTACTAATGTAATTGGAAAAAACAACAAAATGTTTTAATGTAATTATACGCCTGAGTGTAGGCAATTGGCAATTGCTGAATTTCATAACAATTTTGTGTTGTTTGTCATTTAATTAATACCAAATTAGTTAAATTCTAAATTAAAAAATATAAAATACTGTTTTATAATAAGCCATTTAAACAACAAGTGCTTTTTATTTTGATTGCAAATAAAACTTGTTAAAAGTTGCTTAACGCCCCCAGACCACACAGCAAGACTTCTTTAGACATTATGTTTTTCGAAAAAAAAAAAAACTGTGTCAATTAAATTACACAATTAACACCTTTAGTTTTAAAGGAATTGCTGGTTCTTTTTTTAAAGTTATCAATTTTGAAATTTGAAAAATTTCTTAATTATTTAAATTTTTTCTTAATATTAATTTGGTTAGTAAATTTTTGTGAATTGTGTTTTGTTTATTGATTTGTCAAAACAAATGTTTAAACGCTTGTTATCAAAAATATTTTATTTTTAGCCACGTTTTAACTTTAACACCAAACCTTAAATTTCAATAAAAAAAACCAGTTGTTGCTTTTCTTTTTCGAACCAACTAATAAAGTGTTTTTTTTTTTTTTGGCTGTTATTTACATAAACTTTTAAAATTTGAATTTTTCATCTCAATTACTGTTGTTGTAGGGCTTAGTGTGTGTGTATATTAAATTGAAATTAATCGCTTATAAAAATGTTTAAACAAAAACAAATGCTTGTTGATAAATAAACGCTTTTTCTCAACTCTTTAAATTGATACAATAATAAAAATACAAAAATGTCACACTAATTACTTAATGATCGAAAATACAGCCACAACAAAACTATAAAAAATTCAACAAAAAAACTCTTTAAATATTAAACTACCTGACTTACTGGTTGACACACAAAATAATAATAAATTAAACATAGAGAGTTTAGTTTCAAAGTGGTCTATGTTAGCTTAAACGAAAATAAAACATATTTAAACTTTTCAAAAAATTTACTTTCAATATTGATATTGTTGATATTAAGCTTTACAATTTGAATTTTTGGCCTTTTTATAAAATCTTGAAAAACTCTACTTAGCCTATTTTGCTTCTAAATTGTTTGATATGGCTTATTTTTATTGGTAACACTTTCCAAATGCTCTATAATAAACACATCTTCCGTTTATTTAATTAGTTTTAAAAATTCATTTCTTAGTTTAAATGGTCAGTTAAGCTGTTTTGACTTTTAATCAAAATAACATTAATTAGGCACTTAAATTGGTATTTTTATTATAAATAAATAAAAAATTTCTTTAAAATTTTAATAGTGGCAAATTTCCTTATGTGTGTTCAAGGTGCAAAGTTTAAATATTGTTTTTTTTTTTTTTTTTGTTTTGATTTGATAAAAAACTATAACAACTTCCTAACAAAACTGCTTCTTAACTCTTCATAATTTGTTATTACTCTGAGGAAACTTAAGTTTCCTAAACAAAACTTTAGAGCTTTTAAAAACTTTCTCAAATAATTTTATTTAAAATTTTGTTAATGTCCAAGTTCAAATTAAAAACAGCACACGCTTGTTTGCTAATTATCTAAATAAATGAAAAAAAAGCAAAACAATTCAATTAATTGTTTAATTAATTGTGAAATTAAAATTTTGCCTTAATAGCAGCAATTCTTCCGTCTTTTTGCTTCGATCACTTCTCTTCACAGCAGTTGAGTTTATTTGCTGTCAGGTTTTTAGTTGAAATTGTAAATTTTTCATTGTTTTGTTGATTTAATACTTTTGTTAATTTTAAGAATGCCTTTGTTTTATGCATTTACAAATGATGCAATAAATTATGGTTGTCTCTTCTTCATTTTCATCTACTCTTCCTCAGCTACAACAACTGTTAATGCAGCAAAGTGTTGCATGGCTGGCAAACAGCAACAACAGCAGCAGCAGTTGTGTGTGTTTTTTTTTTGGTTGCAAGCCATGTGACCTTATTATTTATATAAATTTATATATTTTGTTGCATTGTTTTTAAGTTTTTTTTTATTCTTCTGTTTGTTTTCTGGTTTTGTGTCATTGTCTGTTTGTCAAGTGTTTTAAATTGTCTTTTATTGTTGTTGGTGCTGCTGCTGCTGTTAAACACTTGAAATTTCAATTTAAATCTTTGTGGTTTTTAAAGGGGAGCCACCACGCTGCTTTAACAAATATACACTTGTTACTTTGACTTTTCCTTAGCCAAACGTATAGAAGAAATGGAAATCTAGTCAGCCTTAACATGACTCAAATCAAAATTCCAGGGAGGCTTTTAAACAGCAATAGTTGGCTAAATATATTTGTTTTTTCTCTTTTAATAGGTATTAAATTTAATTTAAATTTAATTACTTTATCAATCAAAAGCTATAAAAAACCATAAAAGAATTTACTTTTTTTTGCTTTAATTGCTTTTAATGTTAATGGCTGTTGTGCCCGAGTGAGTGTGTTTTCTTTTTATTTAAAATTGCCATTTGTATGTTGAGTCTATTTTTGAAATTCCCTGTGTTCTGTGAAATAAATGACGATGATGGAAATCATTTGTTAATGGTGTCAAATGGTTTTGCAATGTCAACACATTTTAAATTTAATTAATTGATTGCCTTTTGTTCAAAAAAAAAAAAAAATAAATAAATAAATAAAATAACACACGCTAAATTAATTACTTTTTTGTTTTGTGCTCAATATGTTAAAAAAAATACTAATTTTTTGTTACTTTCTATTTATTTTTAGACAATAATGAACCTCCTCGCATTAAATGTAATTTGCGCAAACACAAGCCAAATCGTAAGCCCCGCACCCCCTTTACCACTCAACAGTTGTTATCGCTGGAAAAGAAATTCCGCGAGAAACAATATTTGAGCATAGCGGAGAGAGCGGAATTTTCCTCATCTTTAAGATTGACTGAGACACAAGTGAAAATTTGGTTTCAAAATCGTCGTGCCAAGGCGAAACGTTTGCAGGAAGCGGAAATTGAAAAAATTAAAATGGCTGCTTTGGGTCGTGGTGGTCCAGGGGCTCAATGGGCCATGGCTGGTTATTTTCATCCCAGTTTAATGCATTTGGGTTAGGAACAACTTGAAACCTAAACCTATACAACACACCAAAGTTTTCCCCTTCCTCCCCCTGACCTCTACTGCTACAAATTTTTCCCTAAAGAAAAATCTCCCGCAAAAAAACAGTAGCTCCCCAATATGCGCCTGTAATTTTTAATTTTAAAAAATCTAAAAATAAACCCCAAATTGCTGTGATGTTAGCGCATTTTAATTGTAAATATTTTATTTAAAACCAACAAAAAAAAACAAATCACCAAGCTGTAAATTTTTGTAAATTAAACAACAGAATCTAGATCTAAAAAACACAAACAGAAAGCACTAAATATGATTCCTAAATTGTAAAGTTAAAATTAAAACAACATAAATGCTTAAACAAATTTATGTTAATTGTACAGAATAAATAATAGTCTTTATTTATAAATAAAAAATAAAAATCCTTTTTAAATTATTATTTTCTTTTGTAAATTACTTAAAGGAAACTATTTTATGTTTCTTTTTTAATTTTATGCTAAACTAATTATTGTTTATTTTTTTTATTAAATTGTATTGTAAAAATGTTTATAAGTACAACCTTTGTAATTATGTATTAATTTTAATCTAATTATTAAATTAATATAACAAAAACTCTAGTGTTAAATTATTAATTAAAGAATTAAATCTTTAATAATTATAAAGCATTTGACTGCTGCAAAGTTAAAAAAACAACAAAAAGAATGCAAATAAATCACAGTAAATTCAATAAAATTATGATAGAATTTATAAATTATAGTTATTATCATTATTAAATTAATGAATTAATGATTAAATAAATGAAGTATGCATTAATTAATTATTTAATTATTAATAATGCTGAATTTAGTTGTTAAGTAAACAGTATCTGTACGTATTAAATTAAATTAAAAAAAAAAAACAAAAGAAAAAAACACAAAAAATCTAAAGAAAAAAAATATATAAAATTATAAAAAATACAAAGAAATAATTTTTGAAAAAACATAACATTCTTTTTATTGCGTTTATTTTAAACAATTTATTAAAAGGTCAGCATCATTTTTTGAATTTTCTTAAGAATACTTCACAAAATATCTAAACGGTTTATACGTGAAACTTTTAAAATACATAATTTGTTTTATTTAAAAGTTTTTAGTAAATATATCGAAAACGGGCTTTAGTACTTTTTCAGTACTTTCTCATTTCGAAAAATACAGCGGTACTCCCACAACTTATTCGGTACCTTTTCTAACTAATAAACTTTTGATAAATATGCCACATAGTCTAATCTATGGTCTAATGTATAGTCAAGTCTATAGTCTAGTCTATAGTCTAGTGTATAGTCAAGTCTATAGTCTAGTCTATAGACTAGTGTATAGTCTAGTCTATAGTCTAGTCTATAGTCTAGTATATAGTCTAGTAAATAGTCCAGTCTATAGTCTAGTCAATAGTCTAGTCTATAGTATAGTCTATAGTCTAGTCTATAGTCTAGTCTATAGTCTAGTCTACAGTCTAGTCTATAGTCTAGACTATAGACTAGACTAGTCTATAGTCTAGTCTACAGTCTAGTCTATAGTCTAGACTATAGACTAGACTATAGACTAGACTATTGACTAAACTATAGTCTAGTCTATAGTCTAGTCTATAGTCTAGTCTATAGTCTAGTCTAGTCTATAGTCTAGTCTATAGTCTAGTCTATAGTCTAGTCTATAGTCTAGTCTATAGTCTAGTCTATAGTCTAGTCTATAGTCTAGTCTATAGTCTAGTCTATAGTCTAGTCTATAGTCTAGTCTATAGTCTAGTCTATAGTCTAGTCTATAGTCTAGTCTATAGTCTAGTCTATAGTCTAGTCTATAGTCTAGTCTATAGTCTAGTCTATAGTCTAGTCTATAGTCTAGTCTATAGTCTAGTCTATAGTCTAGTCTATAGTCTAGTCTATAGTCTAGTCTATAGTCTAGTCTATAGTCTAGTCTATAGTCTAGTCTACAGTCTAGTCTATAGTCTAGTCTATAGTCTAGTCTATAGTCTAGTCTATAGTCTAGTCTATAGTCTAGTCTATAGTCTAGTCTATAGTCTAGTCTATAGTCTAGTCTATAGTCTAGTCTATAGTCTAGTCTATAGTCTAGTCTATAGTCTAGTCTATAGTCTAGTCTATAGTCTAGTCTATAGTCTAGTCTAGTCTATAGTCTAGTCTAGTCTATAGTCTAGTCTATAGTCTAGTCTATAGTCTAGTCTATAGTCTAGTCTATAGTCTAGTCTATAGTCTAGTCTATAGTCTAGTCTATAGTCTAGTCTATAGTCTAGTCTATAGTCTAGTCTATAGTCTAGTCTATAGTCTAGTCTATAGTCTAGTCTATAGTAGTCTAGTCTATAGTCTAGTCTATAGTCTAGTCTATAGTCTAGTCTATTAGTCTAGTCTATAATCTAGTCTATAGTGTAGTCTATAGTCTAGTCTATAGTCTAGTCTATAATCTTGTCTTTAGTCTAGCGTTTAGTCTAGTGTTAAGTCTAGTGTTAAGTCTAGTCTGTAGTCTAGTCTTTAGTCTACAGTACAGTCTAGCCTATAGTCAAGTCTATAGTTCAGTCTATAGTATGATCTATAGTCCAATCTATAGTGTATCCTATAGTTCAGTCTATAGTCTAGTCTATAGTTCAGTCTATTGTACAGTCTATAGTATGGTCTATTGTATGGCCTTTATTCTAGTGAAAAATTAATTTAGTACTTTAAAACCTAAAAAGTACTATTTTTGTTACAATTTGGAACTATTTTAAAATTTAAATTTTCGATGCTTGGTGCCTAATTTCCTTATATTCAGTGTTTATTTAAATATTTATTGATTATGTTTGTAAATTTGGCTACATGTAAATATATGACATATTACTCATACGCTCCATGGCATTGTGCGCTTGAGCTACTTACTGGTTTTTATCTAAAGACTCTAGATTTTAATTTGTTAACATTTAAAATAGAATAAATAAAAAGAAAATTCAAGATATGATATAAAATACAAACAGATATTCATTTGCCACACATTTCTGATGCCTGTTTGACATTAAAAATACGGGATTTTTACAGTTTTAAGAGAAAATTTCGAATCGTATTAAAAAGCAGAATATGAGTGAATATATTTACATTGTTAGCCATGACCTTTTTCCACATGGATTCTGCGCCAAATTAACTGCTCATGTTTTTGAGTTCAAGAACAAATCAAACTGTTCATAAATGAAGCGCATCTCTTATCATTCAAAACAAATACAAGTTGGACGAGCAAGTTCTGTACTATACTTATGGTGAGGCAGAACTTATAAAACACTTCCTTTAAAATTATTTTTTTAAAAGAATTAAACGCTTACATATCTGGCTGCATATTCTGGAAGTTTTTCCGCCAAAACAGTTTCCCTGTGAAGCAAAATGGTCCCCAAATAGAAATATCCCTTGTTAAATAAATGAATGAACTATTTCCGAAGACTAATAAACCACCATTAATTTAGTTATTCCATTTGTAACTTTATTCTGGACCTTACACAGAAAGAAAAATCGCATACTAAAATGTACTTTAGTTTTATCAACTTTAACTTAAAAATTCAGAAGGTTTTTATTATTTAAAACAATTTCATATTCTTAAAATAATGTTTGAGGAAAACCAATCCGCTCAGAATAATTTGAATATGGTTTATTCAATTCGTTTTTTGAGTGTATTAGATTTAAAGATGATTTAGTCTTGTCCGTCTATTAGTTTCTTTGTATGTCCGTCATTTGAAAAACGTATAAACCAAAATTTAATTAAAAAAAAGAGTTGCTCTACATATTTGGTAACTCTTTTAAAGTTCTATAATTAACCCAGCTTCCATAAAAGTTTATCTTCTGAAAATCGTCATCATATTAATATCGATATATGAGAATAACAATCAACATAAATTCAATAAATCCTGGTTATAAATGCTAAATGCTAAAGTTCGATCTATTAAGATAGTTACGATATTAATTTTTCAAGTCAGATATTTGGCAGTGTAAAAAGCAAACGGCACAAATTTGAAATAACCTTCTCCATCTTCAAAGTCACAAACAAATCTACATTAGTTAAACCATAGTCGATAGGATTTGTTAAATCCCTATTATAGAGACAGTATTGAAGTCAAAATTTAAGTTGTTCTTACCTTAAAAACAAATTTGATTTTCAACAATGTTTAAACTCGTTTTCTTTCTATACACATTTGATGAATGGAATCAAGCAATTGATACAAAGTATTTCCTACAACTTTTTTTCTCTCTCTCTCTAGTTTCAGTTATTTGTTTAATATGAAACTTCTGCTGCAATTGCTGTGTTGTGGCAATTGTTATGCCGTTGTTGTAAATACATTTATGTAGTAATTACAACCAATTTAGTAGTTTAGTTACAGTAACAATATAGTTCTGCTTAGATTTTTTTTCAGTTATTTTATATTATTGTTGTTGTTGTTGTTATTTTGCAATGTACGTACGAGTACAAATAATTTAACAAATGTAAATTAGTTTACATTACGTGAATAATTGGTATTTGTAACTAATGTTAGAATAACTTATTATTGCAAGTACTTTTTTTTCTTAATAGTACATATACTTAATAAGTACTTACACGAACATTGATAGTTATAGATACACAAATAAATGTATGTTCATATTTAGTGGGGAATTTAACAAAGAACTCTCAGTGAATTACGATCACTGTAACTACTCTGGCAACAATATCAAATTGTATTGATCCACAATATTGAAAGAAAAAAAAAAATAACAGAATTAAATAAAATAAATGTGTAGCAAAGTTTTGATATTGATGACATTCAATAACAACCAATTTATGTATGGATCGAGCATTAGAGTAGATCAATATGAGAATGTATGTATGCTATGGATGTTACTATGTATGTAGGATGCTTTTTGTAAAGATGTATTTATTAAATGTATAAATAAATTTGTGTATATGTGTAATTGTTTAAAAAAGGAGAACGAATCAACCATACAAAATGAATTATTCATTTTATGCATTTTCTTGTGGTTGTTGTAGTTATTTGCTTTTTGATTTTTTTTCATCTTTCATATGAGCAGTTTGTTGGTTGCTTTCTTGACTTGATTTTTCTGTTGGTTGGTTAACTTGTCAACAGTCTTTTGTTTTCTTTTATTTTACAATAATTATAGAGTAAATGTTCTCATGATTTCAGCAAATTCGATGTACAACTAAACTAACCAAACTACTTATACATAAGTAGTTTTATTGTAA